GACTCTGTATTTTGTGGGTGAATGACACAGCCAATTTCTGTAAAGCAATGTACAGCATTGTACATTGTACAGCAATGTCGCACAAACAGCGATGAAGTGAATGACCACAATCTCATCTGTTGGGGCGGGGGGAGGGGAAATTTTTGGCCAGGACACCAGAACAAACTCCCTTCTCTTTTTAAATAGTGCCATGGCATCTTTAACGTCCATTTGAACAGGCAGACAGGATCTCATTTTAACATCTCACATAAAACGACTTTAGTCTCTCTCTCTCCCATAGAAAAAATGGATGAGAAAGTTTATTTACATCCTAAAAACTGGCTTAAATTGTCTTCCACCCTCCACGAGTCCTTCTCTCCCCAGCACAACAAAAACAAATGGTGGCTTCTGCACTCCAACACAACAGGAGCCTCATTAAATCATAATGAGTGAAAAATATAATACAGTACACACTTTGCACTCTAGTGCAAAGTGGAGTGATACAACAGGAGCATGGTGCCAGCACAATTACTAATAAGGAATATAAAATTAAGCTACTTGGCTCTTCTACAAAAGTGGACCTGACACAAATAACTGCTTGTGCGTGGAAAAGAGATATTTTTGCTGCAGGATGTCATCACTTTCTGGAATGTTGAACAGCACTTGCTTTATAAATAGATCCACATCGTTGAAATTCATAGTGTTTTTGCTATTTGTGTAAAATTTCAGCCTCAGAAGTAACATTTGGAATATGGGAGCAGATTGCTCACTGCAGTTCATGCTGAGTGTTGTTGGGTTATATTTTGCCAAGCGGAATATCTTGTAATCTGTGCTAAATACTCGTCTGAAAGATCCACTTGGTGTGTGTGTCGTGGCAAGATTACAAAACAAAGCAATTCCAGTCACCCTGCCCACCAAAGTGCAAATAGGTTTTGTACCATCATTGATATTTCTGTATTTGTACAGGAAATACTTTGCTTGTTGCACAACAAATATTGTTCACATTATATCTTTGATTGGTACAAATTGTTATGCATTTTTCATCTCAAGCTTTTGGACAGATAAATTAAACAGGATGTGCTAAGGATCAATCAAGGCTGAGTTCATTATATCCATTGCACAGCACTGTCTCTGTTCTGCAACCAGAACAGTCAGAAAGAATAATAATAATAAACCTTGCATTTGATATAGTGCCTTATCAAGTCTTCAAAACGTTTCAAAGCGCTTCACAGAATATACTGTAAAGTTTAGTGACTGTGCATTTTGTGGGCGAAACGCGGCAGCCAATTGCACACAGCAGTGTCCCACAAACAGTCATGGATTGAGTGACCAAATTATTATTATTATACCTTTCTTGGGAATCTGCTGTTGGCTGACAAGTCTTGCCCACAAAATACACAGTCAATTCATTTTACAATATATAACTCAGTGTAGCTCAGTGATTAGAGCATTTGCCTCGCAAGCGAGAGACCTGGGTTCGATTCCTAGCAGGGCGAAACCTTGGGCAAGTTTCGCCCACAAAATATACAGTCAATTCACTTTACAGTATATTCCGTGAAGCCCTTTGAGATGTCTGGAAGTGTGAAAAGCACGATATCAAATGCAAGGATTATTATTATATAATGTGAAGCACTTTGAGGCATCTCAACGATGTAATAAGGCGCTACATCAAAAGCAAGGATTATTTTTTTTTGACACACAGAATCCCATCGCCGTGATCAAATCTCCAAACCAGACATATAAATGTACGTTACCTACATGTGGAAATCATAGCGGCAAATGTCTCCCTGAAGGGACACATGCTGCTTATCTGATTCTGGAGCTTTGAAGAAAAAAAACCTTCACTGTTTTGGGCTTGGATAAGATGAGATCAAACAGTCGAAGGGCCTTCTTCATCCAAACCGACCTTGTGATCGTGCGAATGAACGCACCTAGATATGTGTGCTGTATCTTTCTATTTTTCACCAAGAACTAACAAAATGCATGTTTCAAAATAGAATACTGAAAACCTCCTCTTCCATCTCGGATCTACTTTATTTGACTCATGAAATATACGTGCCCCAGAACATAGTAGAGGCAGCAGAAACTGTCTGATCTTCTCACGCCTCAAAGACTTTTAAAGATTAAAATAATCTGGGTTGAACTTTTCAGGTTGGAGCTGGTGATCTGTATGGAGGACAGAAGGGCCAGTTTGAATTTGCGACTGCCCTGGTGGATGCACCAGTAACTATGGCGACCTTTGCTAAGTTTAACCCTGTTGCTTGTATCTGTGTTCCTAGCTTTCTTAAAATCATTTTTCAATTTATTTCTTGATGCTAAAATCAAGCCTATGTCACTAGAGTAGAAAATCAATCTGTTATAGTAAGTTGCTCTCTAATTTTTTGTGTGAAATAGTGTTAACACTTAGAAGAAAGTGTAAGTGTGAGGAATCCTAAACCTGCTAACCAAGAAATGCCACACTGGTGCTTTTGGCTTCTGCTGAGTCTGTGACTGGATTGCATGACGTGGTAGTCAATTCTTCTTACCACAATCTGCGATTCTGAGGAGACCCTTACTTAAAAGCTCTGAAAGCTGTAATGAGTTTAAGTCTGTGCATGAAACTGCCTTTCTCTTTTCTGTCTACTCTCCATCCAACTTTGGATTCCATAATGTGGAGCCATGATGGAGGTGAAAGAAAGGATTTAATTATTTGCAGCATTAGGGACAAAATCTCTGGTTAGTGCGTTTGTATGGAAGAGCTGACTAGATGACAAGTGAATTGTATCCACTGTTGCTAGGAAAGTTGTGGCAGGCTAGATAAATAGACAAGAGAAATGGGTTAATTTTAAAGCAATATCTTTTATTTACAATTTCTTTTCCTTGAAGATTTCATAACCAGATATTAATAACCTGGTGATGTCTTTGGGTTAAGGTTTTGTTTATACAAATATGGATTTTTTTATTTCACAGTCACAGCAATAAGACAATGTTCAGCATTGTATGAGATCAAATAAATACAACTGAACCTGCTACCACTAGATTGGTCTCATTGCAAACTGTCCATGTAGCTAAATTTATACAAAAAGAATCAATTACCACAGCTGTATGTAGGGAATTATAATCAGTCTCCTCTCCTGAAACAATGGCACCATATGATCACAAATATCAATACAAGGTAATACATTATTTTCTTTGCTCTAAAGAGAACAGGCACTTTTTAACTGGCAGAAAATAATGTTAATAAAATCACAGCACTGCTCTTGAATATAAATGACCATTCCTCAGACAAAACCCACTGCATGCCAGCACCTGTCTGAAACTCATAGTGGCTATTGATCAGCTCTCACTAGGGAGTACATTATGACCACAGTTTAATTTCTTTGTTCAATGGAATGCCAAGCTTGCTTGAAACGTAATTGAGAAATTTAATTACATCTACATGTAGTGCATTCAGATCAGTAATCAACCTCATAACAAATGATTTATTGAATCTTGAATCACACATGTTGAAAGATGAAGCCTGTAAAATAGCCAAGTTAAAGGACACAATTCTTAAGAATATTTAGCAAAACCTAAGATCATTGGTTATTTGCAGGAGTATTGTTAAAACAAGGATAACCTTTATTTTTACATCTTATATTTAATTTTTCTGTGCAACAAAAGTTTTAAAAAATAATAGTGCAAGTCTTAGAATATTAAGGATAACTCTGTGACTTGATTTCAGAAAATCTACTTTAAATATTATTTAAATATGTATAATTCTCTGGCAATCACATTTCAACCATGATTGCACAAGATTATGTTTTGCTTTAAGATCAATTTGAATCCTTTTAACATTTGATATTTCTGATTGTCGAATGGTTTGTTAAGAGTCCCACAGTACATTGCCTATCTAAATGTAAATTAAATGATGTGCTTTATATATTGAAATTGCATGTACCAATTTAGTAATGGATCAGTTGAAACAATGACTACTAATATGATCCTAAAGTAGCAAACGTAGTTTGAACACTATTCCACTACACCCACGGCCTTAGCAAACATGCTCATTAACCAAACCTCGCCATTAACATGCAGCCTCAATTGGCTTGTGCAGTAACGTAGTTGGAAAGTAATGTGAACTTCTGGCAAGATTATTTTTGAATTGTCCTTTTGATAATAAAGGTTACCCTCGCCCTCTCCCAATGATGATAGTAAAAGAGCATTCTTGTTCATTCACCAGGTTGCAATCATGCCAGGTTGTGGCTGATGTACCCATTTGCTCTTGGCCATCTGTAGCCTGACCAAGCCATGAGATACAGTGCCAATCACAACAGACTCATCACGCCATCTGTCACAATATTTAACCCAGGAAAAATCGAAGTTCCTACTAGACCTGACAAAGTGATGGTGCAAACAGCAAAAATCTAGGAGAATACGCTGAAAATAGGGCAAAATCGTCAGATGCAATAAGGATATGTACATTTTTAACAAAGATAAGACATCCAAGAGATTGGGTGAAACAGAACATGTGTCCTTTCACCTCAGCAACCTCGGTGCAATGGTATGTCCAGCTTGAAAGCTTCCCCTGTCTTTAATAACCATAAACATCTTACGTCAGAGACTATCTGAATCCAGCTATGAGCAGACACAAGTCAGTAGCATAAAACTAACCACATCATTGATGTGTGAATAGACAAGCTGACTCAGAAAGGCTGACTGTGGGGTCCAGTGGGCCATCATCTTATGAGGCTAGGATCAAAGTCTCTGGTCTTTCTCTTTGTGTCTCACATGGCTTGGTTGAGAGCAATAAAGCAGACTTACCTTGGAGTATGGTATAATCGCATGCAACTGTGTCTTTTATGAAAGGTTGCAATTTTCATCCCATTATTTCTAAAACAAGTACATTTAATTCTTTTAAAAAATTGGTCTTTTCTCCCATGCCCATTTCCTCCACTGTTTCTGACTTAAAATCCTAAAAAGAAATACCAGCACTTAGGGTGAGCATATTCCTCTGAAACAAATAGGTTTAGCATTAAAGAAAACCACAGAAAGGTCCTTACCTGGCATGCATTGTACAATAATTGATGTTCAAACTTTTTGATCTGCAGGATTTGCTGGAACATTTCATACAGCTGTTCTTTGCTGAGAATCAGCTCCGAGGCTGCACTGGCCGTCATGCGGGCCTGCTGTTTGCGAGGATCCTCCTCACCACGGTTAATAGCATCAAACTTCGCCATCCAGGAGCTGAGCACAGTCTCCTTGCTCAGGCCATCGATTTCTGGCAGACTGCGAACCCGCTTTTCGATGTGTTTCTTGAATACCTCTCGAGAGTCGTTGGAAGAACATCCACCACTTTGCACCATTCTGGACACGCGATCGCTCTTCAGAAACACCTACAATACAGGTCATTGAGATAGCGCTTGTGAATCCTTTTTTAGATTCCGCAAATCACATGTTACTTTTGCAAATTTGATTCTCCAAAATAAATTCTAAAACATTCAACGACAAACAGACGGCACTCCAAAGATACTGCCCGATTTATAGGTGAGAAATAAAGATGTCTTTGATTAAAACACTTGTTTGTAGGAAACTGTTGTGTGCAATTGGCTGCCACGTTTCGCCCACAAAATTATACAGTAAACTAATTTTACAGTATATTCTGTAAAGCGCTTTGAGACATCTCGAAGATGTGATAAGGCGCGATATCAAATGCAACGATTATTATTAAAAATTTTAATCATCTCTTACTGATTTAAATTTCCAATTAATCATTAAGTGTGCAGTAATTATCACTAATGTTTGTAGCATGTTGTAATGAATTAGCTGTGCTTTTGCCTCACATCTGCATTCTAAATTTAAAATCTGAATCCAGTTCAGACTCTCTCTTCTGACAGCTATAAATGTCCCAAGTGAAAAGATTTTGGACAATCTCCAGTTACTTCCTAGTGTGCACACGTTAATTAGGCACCAGTTGGAAATATCTGCAGATAATAAAATAAAAGACAATTTGGTGTTCTGTATCCTTCCGGAGGTTGGGATCAGATCATTGTGTTGGGCAGAGTTAAAGGGAGCTTCGTTTTTCATGTGTCCTGTGCTATACTTCACCTGGGAATGCTTGAAGCTAGCACAAAGTTTATAAAGCATTTAGTTCCCTCATACTGATAACCTTCAGCTAGTTAATGCAAACATTTCCCCAAAACAGCTAATTCGTTAATGTCCATATTGTGTAACAATTTGCTCTTCACTTTCCAATATGATAACCTCAATAATCAAAGAACAATCCCAAATGAATTTAAATGAAAGTACATTGTAACCTTCCACAAAGCTGTAAATATTGTAAAAAAAGATACACAGGAGCAATTTTACAGCTATAAACTTCTCTATGATTTTAGGTAATAATTATAAACTACTGAATTTTACTCTTATGGTTTATGATGCTAGCTTAATCCCCGCAATGAGATTAGAGTTTGTTAATCATTCCGAGGTATCTACTATTCCTGTCATTTGTTTGGAAGACTTTTTCAGGGGAGATCAATGTCATGAACTTTTTGTCCCTGTTAATTTGTTCAATTCTTCTATTACGCTTTGTGCTAAGTGGCTCTAACTGAAATCTCAATTTAATTTTAATTTCCTAAATTTTAAAATCACATTCTCTGATTTTATTTTCATATCTAATATCTTGAGCAGAGAGCCCAGCAGCGTGAGGATGGAACTGAGTGAGGTGGAACATAGTGAGAATTCTGTTAAGGAATTTGGTGAGAATGGGAACTCAGTGCAGAGGGGGAAAGGTGCAGAATTATAAAATGTATAATATTTATATTAAAATAATACAAATCATGTCTGGGAATATGGCAGAGCAGCTAGACCTGTTGCATGCACAATGTATGCCATGTGGGAACTCCAGGATGCTTTGTGTGCCCTGGACAAATACATGTGTAGGAAGTGCCTCTGGCTGCTCGAGCTTGAGCTCAGGGCTCCTGAGCTCGAGGAGAGGGTTGTGTCACTACATAGCATACGGGAGGCTGAAGAGTTCATGGATCGAACGTTTCAGGAGCCAGTCACCCCATCACCCCATAGCCACAGAGGGTTCAGAAGGAGAGTGAGTGGGTGACCTGGTAGGAAGAGGGGATGGGCAGTGTTTAAATCCCGAGAGTGTGGCACTCACAAACCAGTTCTCTGCACTGAGGGCGAGGGTGATGACACCTCTGGGGAGAGGAATCAAAAGCAAATGGATGCACAGGTGAACACAGGGAAGAATGTCAATGTAATTGTTATTGGAGACACAATGGTGAAAAGAGGACAGACGTTTCTGCAACCTAAGACATGACTCTCGCATGGTATGTTGCTTCCCTGGTGCCAGAGTTGAAGACATCATGGAACTGGTGTAAAACGTTCTACAGGGGGAAGGGGAACATCCAGAAGTCGTGGTCCATGTTGGGATCCATGGCGTAGGGGAAAAAAGGGCTGAGATTCTACAGGGAGAGTATCAGAAGCTAGAGAAAGAGCTAGTAGAACTTCAAAGGTTGTGATCTCTCGATTACTCCCAGTGCCTCGTGTAAGTGAGTATCAAAACAGCAGGATCAAACACATGAATGCATGGCTGGAGAAATGGTGCAGAAAGGAGGGCTTCAGATTCCTGGATCATTGAGGCCAGTTCTGGGGCAGATGGGACCTGTACAAGGTGGCTGGGTTATACCTGAACAGGGCTGGGACCAATGACCTCACAGGGAAGTTAACTAGTGCTGTGGGGAAGGGTTTAAACTAATTTTGAGGGGGAAAGGGAATCAGGATATAGCATTAGAGAGGACAAACAAGTTACATAGACCTGTTGCATGCACAATGTGTGCCATGTGGGAACTCTAGGATGCTTTGTGTGCCTTGGACAAATACGTGTTTAGGAAGTGCCTCTGGCTGCTCGAACTTGAGCTCAGGGTTCCTGAGCTTGAGGATGGTGTCACTACATAGCATACGGGAGGCTGAAGAGTTCATGGATCGAATGTTTCAGGAGCCAGTCACCAGGGCTGGGAGAGATGAACAGCAATGTAAGCAGGAGTAATCCAGAAAAAGGAGGGATTAGTTGAGGAAGAAATGCAGAACGGACTAAGTCGGTCTTGGAGTGCATGTGCGTAAATGCACAAATAAGATTGTTGAGCTGCGGCTCAAGTTGCCACATGGGGTTATGAGGTAGTGGCAATAATGGAGACCTGGCTCAAATAACGGCAGGAATGGGAGCTGAATATTCCTGGCTACAAAGTATTCAGCAAGGATAGGGAAGGAAAAATAGGAGGGGGTTGGCAATTTTGATTAAAGACATGGTTGCGGCCCTGGAAAGGGACGATGTGCTAGAGGGCTCAAAAACAGAATTACGGAATGGGTGCAAAACATTCTACAGGGGGGAGGGATACATCCAGAATTTGTAGTCCATGTTGGGAACCACGACGTAAGGAAAAAGCTAAAGAGTAGGACCTCAAAGGTGATGATCTCTGGATCACTCCAAGTGCCTCGTGCAAGTGAGTATCAAAACAGCAGGATCAAACACATGAATGCATGGCTTGAGAAATGGTGCAGAAAGGAGGGCTTTGGGTTCCTGGAACATTGGGACCAGTTCTGGGGCAGGTGGGACCTGTACAAGGTGGGTTACACCTGAACAGGGTTGGTGAGCTGCAGGCTCAAGTTGTCACACAGTAGTGGCAATAACGGGGACCTGGTTCAAACAAGGGCAGGAATGGGACCTGAATATTTCTGGCTGCAAAGTATTGAGGAGGGATAGGGAATGAAAAATTAGGGGGGATGGTAATATTGATTAAAGACAAGGTTACAGCCCTGGAAAGGGATGATGTGCGAAAGGGCCCCAAAACAGAATCAATTTGGTTAGAGAGTTAAGGAGCAGAAAAAGAGCTATTACTCTGTTAGGTGTATACTATAGACCACCAAATAGTGGGAAGGAGATAGACAAGCAAATCTGCAAGCAGATTTTAGAAAGATGCAAAACCAATATAGTGATACTGGGGGACTTCAATTATCCTAACATAGACTGGCAAAATAACAGTGTAAAGGGCAAGGAGGGGGAAGAATTCCTGAAACGCGTGCAGGATAACTTCCTGGATAAGTATGTTTCTAGCCCAACGAGGAAGGAAGCGGTGCTGGATCTAGTTCTGAGGAATGAAATGGGGCAAGTAGAGTATGTTTCAGTAGGAGAACATCTGGACAACAGCGATCACAACATCATTAGTTTTAGATTACTTATGGAAAGGGATAAGGAACAATCAAAGGTGAAGATACTCAACTGGAAGAGGGCTAATTTCAGTGAGTTAAAAAGGGACCTAGCCAAGGTGGACTGGAAAGAAAGATTGGCAGATAAAACAACTAAAGAACAATGGAAAGTCTTCAAGGATGAGACAGTTTGGGGACAGAACAAATACATTCCCACAAAGGTGAAAGGTAGGGCATCCAAACTTCCCTGTATGAGTAAGGAAATTGGGATTAAAATAAAACAGAAAAAGGAGGCTTATGATAAATGTCAGGTCCAAAATACAGAAGATAATGAAATAGAATATAGAAAGTACAGAGGAGAATTGAAAAAGGAAATAAGAGGGGCAAAGAGATTGTCCCACTTCATTCCCCAGAACTAGATCCAGCACTGCTTCCTTCCTGGTTGGGCTGGAAACATTCTGATCCAGAAAGTTATCCTGCACACGGGTAACATAAAAAGACCCTAAGATATTTTATAAGCATATAAAGAATAAAAGGCGGAGAGCAAGGCTGACATACTGAATGAGTACTTTGCATCTGTCTTCACAAAAGAAGAGGATGTAGCAAATGCCACAGTACCGGAGAAGACAGTAGAGAATTTGGATAAGATAAGAATAAACCGAGAGGAGGTACTAAAAAGGTTGTGGGTGCTCAAGGTAGATAAGTCAGCCGATCTGGACGGGATGCATCCTAGATTACTGAGGAAAGTAAGGGTGGAAATAATGGAAACTCTGGCCACCATCTATCATTCATCCTTGGACACCGGAGTGGTGCCAGAGGACTGGAGTTATTCCCCTGTACAAAAAGGGGTAGAAGGATAAACCCGGGAACAACAGGCCTGTCAACCTAACGTCAGTAGTGGTGAAACTTCTGCATGCTGTAATCCGAGACAAAATAGATTTTCACTTAGAAAAATATGGGTTAATAAAGAACAGCCAACATGGATGTGTTAAAGGCAAATCATGTCTAACAAAGCTGATAAGAGTTTTTTGATGAAGTAATGGAGAGAGTGGATGAAGTAAGTGCAGTTGGTGTCGTATATATGGATTTTCAAAAGGGTTTTGATAAAGTGTCACATAATAATAAATAATAATAATAATCCTTGCATTTGATATAGCGCTTTTCACGTCGGGAGGACGTCCCAAAGCGCTTCACAGAACACACTGTAAAGTGAATTGACTGTATATTTGTGGGCGAACGCGGCAGCCAATTGCGCACAGCAATGTCCCACAAACAGTCGTAGATTGCAAATGACCAATTTATTATTGTTTTTGGAGGGATTATTATTAGGCGTGTGGAGTAAGGAAACTTGCCCAAGGTTTCGCCCTGCCTGGAATTGAACTCAGGTCTCTCGCTCGCAAAACGAGTGCTCTAACCACTGAGCCACAGAACTCCACAGAATTCCACATAATAGACTTGTTAGAAAAATTGAAGCCCACATATTAAAGGGACAGTGACAGCATGGATACAGATCTGGTGGGAGACAGAAAGCAGAGTGTAGTGGTGAACGGTTGCTTTTCTGAATGGAGGGAAGTGTGCAGTGGTGTCCCCCAGGGATCAGTATTGGGACCACTTCTGTTTTTGATCTTTATAAATAATAATAATCCTTGCATTTGATATAGCTCTTTTCACGTCTTCTAGATGTCTCAAAGCACTTCACAGAATAAACTGTAAAGTGAATTGTCTGTATATTTGTGGGCAAAATGTGACATGGACTTGGGTTTAGGGAGTGCAATTTCCAAGTTTGCAGATGATACTAAGTTAGGAAAAGTAGAAAACAGTGAGGAGGATAGTAACAGACTGCAAGAGGACACAGACAGACGGGTATAATGGGCCGACAGGTGGCAGTTAAAGTTTAATGTGAAGAAATGCGAAGTGATGCATTTTGGGAGGAAGAACGAGGAGAGGCAATATAAGCCGATGGTATAATCTTAAAGGGGGTGAAGGGACAGAGAGACCTGGGGGTCATATAGGGAAATCTTTGAAGGCGGCAGAACAGGTAGATAAAGCTGTTAAAAAAGCGTACGGGATACTAGGCTTTATAAATAGGGGCATAGAATACAAAAGTCAGGAAGTTATGATGAACCTTTATAAAACACTGGTTAGGCCTCAGCGAGAGACTGTGTTCAGTTCTGGGCCCCACACTTTAGGAAGGATATCAAGGTATTGGAGAGGGGGCAAAGGAGAGTTACCAGAATGGTACCAGGAATGAGGGACTTCAGTTATCAGGAGAGGCGAGAGAAGCTATTAGGATTATTCTCCTTGAAGCAGAGAAGGTTAAGAAAAGACTTGATAGAAGTTTTCAAAATGATGAGGGGATTCGATAGGGTGAACAAGGAGAAACTATTTCCACTGGCGGGTGGGTCAGTAACCCGAGGACACCGATTTAAAATAGTTGTTAAAAAAACAGAGGGGAGGTGAGGAGAAATTTTTTCACACAGTGAGTTGTTCGGATCTGGAATGCATTGCCTGAAAGGGTGATGGAATCTAATTTGATAAAAACTTTTAAGAGAGAACTAGATAATTATTTGGATAGGACAAGTTTGCAGGGCTAAGGGAAGAGAGCGGGGATTTACTGTAAGGTATAGTGACCATATATTTGATAAATGTTTGATAATATCCAATATTATCAATTAATTTTTAATATCTTACCTCATAGTAACTCTGGACCGCATTGATAAATGCTTCATCTGCCACAATCTGCGTCTCTCCATTCAAGAAAGCCTGGAAACGATCTTTGACTGTCTGGAGTTGCTGTTTGTTTATCTGGAATTTTAAACACACATATTTAGAATGAATCTTTGATCATTACTAAAACCCCACTTTGGGCAAAGGAGCAGCATCAATCACACTGTCAGTTTGCTCAGACTGCTCATCAATCCTGCCAGATAAAAAGAGGCATTATTATCAAACATTTTCCTGACAAGGATCTCTCTTCGTAAATCAGGCCCAATAATCCACTAGGCTTTTGTATTTGAACTGCAATGTATCAAGCTTTTAAATCACCCTGGGTCTTTTCCATGGACCAAGGCATCTCCTTGAAAGCTGAAAGACTGACAGTGTATCATCCTTTCAAGATTTCTCTGACTTGAATAGCAATATATCTAATAGGTAGGAGGACTTGGAGATAAGGACAGAGAACAAGCACCATCTGCAACCAACACTAACACCTAAACCATTAAACTATTTTCCCTTTCACACCATCCCATTGCCTATTTCTAGATGGAATCGCATTTCTGTGTTCCTATTATGAGCTGGAATAATAATAATAATAATAATCCTTGCATTTGATATAGCGCTTTTCACGTCGGGAGGACGTCCCAAAGCGCTTCACAGAACACACTGTAAAGTGAATTGACTGTATATTTGTGGGCGAACACGGCAGCCAATTGCACACAGCAATGTCCCACAAACAGTCGTAGATTGAAAATGACCAATTTATTATTGCTTTGGGTTTTGGAGGGATTATTATTAGGCGTGTGGAATAAGGAAACTTGCCCAAGGTTTCGTCCTGCCTGGAATTGAACTCAGGTCTCTCGCTTGCAAAGCGAGTGCTCTAACCACTGAGCTACAGGAATATTAAGGTATATGGGGGAAAAAAGCAAGGAAATTGGATTGAAAAAGGAGAGCAATAAAATGGTTGATAAACCAAGTAGGCTATCCCTGTAGACTATGCTCAGATATGATTTTTTTTCTGGGAATCAACAACATGGGAGGGAGGAACTAAATCAATTAAAGATGTCAAAGAAGATTTAAAGCTCTTAGGCAATTGCCATATTCACCAATGAGTTTGGCAGGATGAAGATCCAGCTCCTCGAAACAATCAAAGCACAAAAAAAAATCGGTTTGAGCAAGTGAGTATGTTCGTAGAGTATTAGTATTAACAAGTCCTCTTCTTTATTGCTTGAATATTTCAGGCCGAAACCAAAGCTGAAATTATCAGCGTTTCGCAAACCAGGTTTCTGTAAACAAATCAAAGTGGAGTATGCAATTGGTTTCTGATCTCAGCCTGGAGACTCACCCAGTCTCATTTTGTGTTTGCACTTACACTGGGTGGGAGGTATTTGCTAGTTCCAACTAATCAATTGGAACTACATGGTTTGATTGCTGAGTGGATTGTTATCATCCTGGTGGTTTCCCATTGTAAATACAGCATAATGTTTTCAGTACTTGTTCACAGTTGAGTAATACAGTATGGCAATAACAGTCACTCCCATAGCAGCTGGCCTTAAAGTGGCACTATAATGTATCATCGTAAAAAGCATAAGAACTTCCCTTCATGTAGGTATAGAGTTTCGGATGTCACTATCACCGACAAGGCCATCTCTGACCACTACTTCATCTCCTTCACCACCTCCACCCCCCTCCCCACCTCCACCAGACCCACCACCATCTTCTACCGCCCTTGGAAGAAGTTACCCCCACAATCCCTAACCGATGCCTTGGAGTCCTCTGAACTCCTCTCCCTCTGGCCTTCAACCCTCACCGACCCCTCTTCTCCTCTCTCCCTCCTCCACAATACCCTCTCCTCCACACTCGATACTCTTGCCCCCATCACTTCCCGCACTGTCTCCTACTCCCGCTCCTCCCCCTGGTACACCACCCACCTCCGCTCACTGAAAAGCCAGGTGCGGGCTGCTGAACGCACCTGTGCCAAATCTGGCCTAACGGTCCACCGACAAATCTGGCTGGACCTCCTCAAAATTTACCGCTCCACTCTAGCCTCGGCCAAGTCGTCCTTCTACTCCAGGATAATCCTGGAGGCGAAGAACAACCCCAGGCTACTGTTTTCCACCACAACCCGACTCCTCCGTCCCCCCCGCCACCCCGCGCAGGTCATCTCCTCCAACCTTCACTGCGAGGAGATGCTGGATTTCCTTGAATCCAAGATCAAGGGAATCCGCTCCGCGGTCACTTCCCCTCCAACTTCCACCCACCACCCACCCCTTCCCTCCCACACTCCGACTCCTACCCATCCTCCCCTACACACCTTCGTACCCGTTTCCCCACCCTCTGTCACTGAACTCATCCTATCCCTAAAACCAACCACCTGCTCCCTTGACCCCATCCCCACTCCACTCCTTATCTCCCAGCTCCACTTTCTTGCCCCACATATCACTGACATCATCAACCTGTCCCTCTCCTCTGGCTCTGTCCCCATTCCATTAAAAACTGCCATCATCACGCCCACCCTGAAAAAACCCTCCCTTGATGCGTCGCAGCTATCAAGCTACCGGCCCATCTCCAACCTCCCCTTTCTCTCCAAGGTCTTGGAAAGAGTTGTCGCCTCCCAACTGCGCTCTTTCCTTTCCACCCATTCTCTTTTCGAACCCCTTCAGTCAGGTTTCCGTGCTGCCCATAGCACAGAAACTGCCCTGGTCAAGGTCACCAATGATATCCTGACCATCTGTGACCAGGGCTCCCTCTGTCTCCTCGTCCTCCTCGACCTATCGGCAGCATTCGATACGGTCGACCACGCTATCCTACTCCACCGCTTGTCCTCCCACCTCAACCTTCAAGGCACTGTCCTTGAATGGTTTAGGTCGTACCTTTCTCACCGTCTTCACTTTGTCTCGACGAATGGCTTCTCCTCCACCCCCCGCACTGTCTCATGTGGTGTCCCTCAGGGCTCTGTCCTCGGTCCCCTCCTCTTCACCCTCTATATGCTCCCCCTTGGTGACATCATCCGCAGACATGGAGTTAACTTCCACATGTATGCGGATGACACCCAACTCTACCTTTCCTCCTCTACTCTCAACTCCACGACCACCGATGTCCTGACAGCTGCCTGTCCGACATCGAGTCCTGGACGAGAGACAACTTTCTTCAGCTCAACGTGCGAAAAACCGAGGCCCTCCTGATTGGCTCACGTCAGCGCCTCCGCACCTCAGGCGCTGACACCATCAGCATCCAAGGCTGCACTCTCCACCTCTCAAAGCCAGTCAGGAACCTCGGCGTTTTGTTCGACCCTGAGCTGTCCTTTCTCCCTCACATCCGCACCACAACTGGCACCGCCTTCCATCACCTCCGGAACATCGCCAGACTACGGCACTACCTCACCCCTCACGCTGCTGAAACCCTGGTTCACGCCTTTGTCACCTCAAGGCTGGACTATGGGAACTCTCTCCTCGCCGGCCTTCCCGCCACCTCCCTCCACAAGCTGCAGGTCATTCAGAACTCTGCAGCTCGTGTACTGTCCCGCACCAGGCTTCGGGACCACATCACTCCCACCCTCGCTCGCCTCCACTGGCTCCCCATCCCCCAGAGGATTGATTTCAAGATCCTCATCCTCACCTACAAGGCCATTCACGGCCTTGCTCCCTCCTACCTCTCCAACCTACTATCCCCCTACCTACCTGCCCGTACCCTCCGTTCCTCTGGCTCCGGTCTGCTCCACGTCCCCCGCCCCAACCGCCCTACCATCGGTGGTCGGGCCTTCAGCCTCTCAGCCCCGAGGCTCTGGAACTCCATCCCCCAGTGCCTTCGCCTTGCTTCCTCCCTTTCCTCCTTCAAGGCCAGTCTCAAAACCTTTCTCTTTGACCGTGCCTTCAGCTCCCCTCTCAACTCTCTTCCCCCTCCTCGCTCCCTCCCCTCACCCTGACCATTTCCCCCCTCCTTGCTCCCTCCCTGCTCGGGTCATGACCCAACTGTGCAGCGCCTTGGGACGTCCTCCTGACGTGAAAGGCACTTTATAAATGGAATCTTGTTGTTGTTGTTGTTGTTGTGAATCATTTAAGAAACTGTTTGTTGTTGTACTAGGAAGATGATGGGGTGGGTATTCTCTATCCAAACCTCTCAATCATACACTGATTTCTCTCATGGTTCTCCCCCACTCATAGAATTATGCAGCACAGGAGAAGGCTATTCAGCCCCCCTTGAATTTCACTGTGGCTTGTTGGCTGAATGACCTAGAAGGTTAATTCCAAACCTCTATCACTGACATCCCTGCCAGGAATTGTGCAAGAAGAGTTGGGAAAAATCTCCAAGTGTATTCCCTCCCTGCAGGAAGATGTCTGACACTCACTTGCTATCTTTCAATAGCGTCTCATTCAAAATAGTCCTTTCAACCCATCAACATCTACTGAATTTCCCGCTGCTTGCTTCGAACTGGTCCACCTTTTTGGTTGATACCATGACAGACATGTGTAACAACGTGAGCGCAAGGCATTTGTTTCCCTAGGTCTCATTGTGCTCCCTTTGCTGCATGTAGCTAATCCTGGATGTCCATTCTCATGGGATTTCCCACAATAAGTGTAGCTTGAATGATTCACTACATGTATTTGTGGAGTCCTGTAGCTCGGTGGTTAGAGCACTCGCTTTGCAAGCGAGAGACCTGAGTTCAATTCCAGGCAGGGCGAAACCTTGGGCAAGTTCCTTACTCCACACGCCTAATAATAATCCCACCAAAACCCAAAACAATAATAAATTGGTCATTTTCAATCCATGACTGTTTGTGGGACACTGCTGTGCGCAATTGGCTGCCGCGTTCGCCCACAAATATACAGTCAATTCACTTTACAGTATATTCTGTGAAGTGCTTTGGGACATCTAGAAGATGTGAAAAGCGCTATATCAAATGCAAGGATTATTATTATTATTATGTATAAAATAGAGCATAACATCCCCCTCACTGTGCGTCTTAAAAACAGTTGAAAATAGCAGAAAAAATATCCTCCACCCTGGGGACAATCTGGTGAGATGGGCCAGATAATCTTTCCTCCATTTCCATATATTCTCCCCCTGGAATTGCAACTATTCACACTCCC